AGTAGTAGCGAGGGGTAAAAACCCGCGCTACTACTATCAACTTAGTAGTAGCGTGGGTTTATAACCTGCGCTACTAGTAATTAGCAGTAGCACATATTTTTAACCATCGCTACTGGTAAGATTCTGTGTATAAGGTTTTCCCTAGTAGTGAGAAAAGAGAGACTAAAACGCATGAGAGCTAGAGGATGTACATTTTATCTACATTTTTCATATATACAAAGAAGTAACCATGGATGCCAATGTTAATGTAGTAAGGAATCTCTTAGTATCTTAGTATGATCTAGGATATATGAAAACAAAAAACAATATTCAAATGGAAATTACCAAAATCTGGTACATGTTGCTAACAACAAATTGCATGATTGATAAACTACATCAATTGTCACAAGCTATCAGGCACTTCCAAATCATAATGAGTTTCACATTTAGTGTACATGAAGAGTCCAAGCAGTTAAGATACGATCTAGAAAAATAAAGATGTGCATTAACTTAAGTACTCTCAATCAAATTAAGCAATTGACTTCACAATTATGGGATTATAGAGAACCCTCCAATGATAAAGAATGTTTCGGGTTTAAAAATAAGCACGATCAGAACTAACCTGCCAAAATACATTTTAGAACCTCTCTTAGTATCTGAATATATTCATCATTCGACATCTCCTTGACAGTTTCCATATTTTCGTTTGACTCGAGGAAATTAATTAACTCAACAGTATATTGCAGCATGTACTTTGACAATCTTTAAAAACAGAAAAAAAATCATGAAAAGCCCACGATTAATGATATGCAGGAACAAATGATGTTGAAGCATGCTCAAGAAACTGTACCGTCAAAGCATCAGAACCTTTCTACTTTAGTGAGCTCTGAATAATATATCTAACAATGGTAATGTTATTGCTTAAAAGAATTACTCCCTCTGTTCATTTTTATAAGGCCTTGAAGACATTTCAGACAATGTGCAAAGTAGTTTATTTTGAGTTGTCTAAAATGACTTATAAAAGTGAACGGAGGGAGTAGCTTTGTTAAAGCACCTAATATCCAACTTCAGCTTTCTTACGGAAGAACTGACCAAGTATTTTCTAGACAACAATTCAAAAATATTATAGCACATAATAACAGGAAGCTTTGCCTACTTTTACAGATATTGAATTAGGAAAGGGTGAAGATGATGCACAAGTAACGTCTAATATTCACACAATAAGCAGTTATGTATGCATGAGATATTGAGGGTTTGAGCAGAGATCTGAATTGTACTGGAGCTTCCTCTTCCAGTTCCAACTATTACGAAACAAATATGTTAGACATCAGCTTGCTTGTTTCTTTGATTCTTTGGTGGAGAGAAATCAGAGAATAGGTCAACGCAAATGCTAGCCAAGGAGCAGACCTTAATCCCAGAGTGTGGCGCATGTGAGGGGGGGGGGGAGGTTACTGGGGATGAGCAGTCAGCCATGGAGGCAATAACAGGAAGGGTGGCCGTTGCCCGTGCATCGCCTAGACAGAGCTTGGGGGAGTCTCTCTTCCTCTCGTCTGCATCTCTTTCCTGATGAAATCACTTGCATAGCTTCCTTTTGGAACCTTCCAAAGCACAGAGTCATACCTTTAGCATAAATATGACCATATGTAAGAATATTTTACTCGCAAGAACATAATTAACTTTCCGATATTTAACACCACCATGATACATTAGTATCTGGAATGTTTGAGGGAAAAAGAAGTGTGAAATGAATACCCCCAATTATAAGGGTCCTCTTCCTGAATAGCTACTACTGCTGCTTGTTGCATATCTGATCCTGGAGGGAATGTTGCTAGTTCACACTCATCTGCCAGAGTAAATGAAGTTCCGTATAACCAAATAAGTCAATCTGAAGTAAATGAGATGAAAATGAAGAGGTGCAGTTTAAACCAAGTACTTACAAGTAGTTGTCACTCATTGCTATCCAGCAAAAAAATGATAGACATCTAGCAAAATCTCAAAAGTGCCTTACCACCTTTTATAAAGAGAAATATTTCCTTATCAAAAAATTTCCAGTTGCTCTTAATGTCGTCAACGCCAGCAAAATGAAAGCTTGGCAACAAATGTACATGAGTCAAACATTCCTGCTGAGGCCTGTACCACAGGTTCCAATATGCAATCAGCATGAGATACTGTTGAAAAAAGGCAATGCAATACATCTAGTAAATCAACTCTGAAGACCTAGTATGCAAATGCACGAAATCCTCCACGAGAGTCAATGTCCACTGTGCCATCATGGGCACTGTAATTGAAAAGCACAGGAAACAGACAGGTAAGTTCCAAAGATGAATATGCATAAACCCCGCCAGATTTTTAGTTGTGTAAATCAAGCAGCACAATTTACCTAAAATCACAAATGTGCAATTCGTAGATGGTTATGTCAGAGCAGGAATCAAGTTTTGGCTTATCATCGGCCAATTCATCCCAGGAAGCTGGCTTCAGTGTTTCATTGTTAATGTCAACCAACCAGGTCCGCGCTCCATTTACAGAAAGGCTGATCAAATAAACAACAAGCTAGTTTCTTCCTTTCCCTGAACTTTTTTCTTCTGCGGAAAGTTCCTCTCCCTAAACTACATAACTGAAATGCGCACAACCACATACCCTCTAGCATAAAGGTCACCAGCTAAACATTTCAGAATTTGTGCCTTAGTTGGATGATACACGTCAACTTCATATAAATAGTATCGGTTTTCCCACTCTCTTGGTCAAGTAACACTCCAAATACCATTTGACTCCTTGAGCTGCACCGTCTCTAGAGCAGGGCCGGCGGACCATCTAAGAACCACACACTCATATCCAGCAAGATATATTGGGCACATTTTACATATAAGCGGGAATAGTACAGAACCGGAGGCGACACTTGAGATGGTAAAATGCGTCGTCTTTAGAAGCCAAACATGTGTTGTAGGAGCCCAAAGGTGCAGGCTCACAGAGTCCTCGCTGAAAACCGCACCGAGCGGTCCTCTGTATGCAAACATGTCATCCAGCACACCGGATAATTGCAGTCTAGTAACATCTACGTGTTTCCTGTCAGCTGCACACAAGCAGTATGTAAGGATCTTGCTCTGTCTCAGAACTTGTCTGAAGAATTTGACACTCATCTCTGAATCTGCATGTAAGGGTGCAAACAATCGAGAATTACCACCGAAAGAAGCGACGACCAGTTGGCATTTCACAAGGCTGGCGACGTCGACAGAGCTCGGAACTCTGAACGCTCTGTAACTACTGATGAAAGGGAACTTCTGGGTCACCTGAAACATGTTGCGAATGGCACTCTAGGTTCAACAAACTGAAAAAAATACATCGCTAAAGTGGGGAGCCAGCCACGGCCAACAAGAACTCAAACTCCTATCCGATTTCGACTTTGTGCTCTTGACTTTCCACACCGCAACCTCGAGCAACCATCAACATCCATCCCCGCATCCACCCCTACCTCCTGCTGCCGCCTACATTGTTCTTGCTCGTCGGGGAAGGGCCACAATCTCCTCTACAATGGCCACAGACAGATCCACGGGGAGGACACAATCTTCCAGGGGCACTCAACCAAGCACGTCACCCTCCACATTCATCCTATCCCAACCCTAACAGCGTCAAGACCCTCCATTGGTCCATGAATCAGGCTCGTAGCGTCCAGATTCGTTGCGACGAGTCTGTAGTCAACGTCTTGACTTTGGCTATCCCCACGGCAGCACCATCGGATCTTGCTTGATTTTACCTTCACTTTGTCTCTCCCCAAGGCAACACCACCACCCAGCCAATCACCACCACCGCCTGTCCAGATAGAATCATGAACAATCCCCATGGCAGTGCTGTAGGATCACCTTGGCGACCACGACAGCAACCGCCTAGTCTAAAATCTAAGCGAGCCAATCTCTATAGAAACAAGTAGAAGCAAGGCGCATGGCTCAGATATGTTCATTTTTTGACGCACGCGCCTCTAGGAGAAGCGGCGTGCTTGCCCTGCCGCCCACCAGCTCCTGGTCTATAGCTCACCTAGCTAAATACTCTGCTTTGCCACCTGGCCAGATTTTTTTGCACATTTATAATACAGTTGAGTGGGTTAAAACTATTGCAAAACAACACACACTTTTATAATCTCTAAATACATATTTAGTTCGGTCCATATGTATATCTGAAGTAACTTATCAACGTCTCCTCGTGCATGGGACCCAAATACTGTACGTCCGAAATCACAAACAAATTGACATGTTCGCTAGAATTCCACGACGGCATGCAAAATCACAAATAAGTATTGTCTTGTTGTATAAAGAGAATTTTCTTTGCGAAAAAAACTGATATAGCTTGACATGTGGAACCTGGACTTACCCTCGTTGACACCACTAATATGTTAAATAGCTTCAAAATAATCAAACACATACTTGTCTTCGTATTTCCAGCCTCTCCACACAAGCGACATTTCCCAACAAGTTCCTAAAGGAGCTCATGGTCTGTCTATTTTAGTGAAACTGAACCTCAACAAATGGGGCAAATATAAAGACACCAAGTTTCAAGTAATTCATTGCAGTTTCAGTTCTCAGTTTAGGTGCAGCTCACACAACAACCTGCAATTATATACCTATTACAGAATTATTTTGAAGGCATGTTAATACTTAGAATAAAAAATAACCCCACGGGAGGCTAACTAATTTATACCAATGAGCATGCTAGCTCTCTCATGACCATAATGCTGCCATAACCCCACTGCAGCACGCCTTGCCCGCCATAGACTGCCGCACACCCCTGAGCGCGTCCTATACTTCAGTCTTCTTATTCGTAGTGTACATTTCATTACATGTTTGTAAACTAAATAAAGATTATTTGTATCAGCAATGTACATTTTCTTCAGGGCGATAGATATAAATTGATGTACTATCTATACATAGAAAGCATTGCATTGATACCTCCAACTATGAAACTGGAATAAGTAGAGTTGAGATAAAATTGGAGATGGTTAACAATTAAGGAAAAAAACTAAAGAGGACCCCATGTGCACCTCTGATATCTATACTGACTCCACTCTGGTACATCATGAGTCGAAGCACATCGAACGAAGGGGTGTGGAGAAGAGACATCGAACGGGAGGCGAGAAGGGTGGTGGACCACCGAGCAAGGGCGCTCAACGGCTCTGTCCCTGCCCCATGGTGGCCGCTCCTCGCAAGGGGATTAAGGGAGTCATGAAACAACAGAGGATTCAGCTCCTTTGCAGTTCGATTCTTACTGTATAGGTGTTGTAGCTGTTCAAAAAATTGAGACATGGTTATCTCAAGAAACTGGAAGGACTAAGTGTAACAAGCATGTTCATATATTGAACTTGTATGAGCAATGAGAAAGGAAGGCTGAATATAGAGCTTGGAAGGTTGGTAATCTGCTTCCTACATAATAACAGGAAGGATAATCAGAAGAGGCTAAGGCAAGAGAGATGTATCTGGTTCTTGGAGACTCAGAACAGTAATGTGCCATTCAAATAGACCAAATGTTGTTGAAAGAGCAACACTCCACGATGGAGATGGACCACCCGCCATGGAGGAGAAATACTCAAGATGCACCTGGTTTTCAGACTTGGACTCATTTGCTAGATCTCTTAATCTTAGCCAAATTTAAAAGTATTTCAGAATGCAGTTAATTGTTTAAAGCAAAAGGCAACCTCATTCAAAGCAAATAGAGTATTTTAAAAAATATGCTATGTTTCAGAGAGCATTCAGCAGCTACGTCATGTTTTCTTTCAGAATATACATATTGCGAATAGCTTGCATCTGAGTCAAGTGCGCACATAAAAATATGCACAATACATGGAATTTTCAAACCTATAAACTACTTCATTTTAGTAGTTGTCTCACAAAGAATTAAATATTAAATTCATTTGTGGGGAAAAATTAACATCATATCATGAAGAACAGTACTGTACGCGTCTTCATTGGTCCTGTTTGGCCCTGCTTTTTGAATTATTGTGTGGGTTACAAAAGATTGTAGTATACTTTGTACTCTCTTCATTGCATGAAAGAAAAGAAAAGACTAATCTCGCACATATTTTTTCCAAATTAAAATTGCTATGACAATATCATCAATTGCTAGTACTGTTAACTGTATCCATGCCACTGTTGTTGCCTAGATGCTGCAAATAATTCATCTCCAGCTATATTCAGAACCATTACATTTTTCACTTAGGAAACATGCATGCAACAATGTATTTCATGCACGAATCCAAAACCCATTACCAGTAGGACTACATTTTGCTCATTACCAACAAACTGAAGAGAGTATATTTTGGCCGCAATACCACAATTCCGTTAATCATCCTTTGATAAGAAAATTAATACATCAATTTTGATCCTAAAAAAGCTAGTGAACATTACACTACCAACTTATCTATCTCTAGATGTCAATTTGGATATTCCATGCTCACCAAAGAAGAAGAAAAATGGAGATGTTTTATACTGCATATCACTATGCTCATGTAGAGTTGGAGATAACAGCTTCAACAAGTACAGAGATGTTAAACTAAGAATTCGAAAACAGAAGGCTAAAACTACTTGTTCCTCCGATCCTAGAAGTATATATATCTGATGAATTTGACTACAGTTTGTTACAATAAAAAAATAAAATATTCCACCATGTTACCACGATATTATCGAGTCAAGCCAGAATGACATTTAGCACAGCAAGCTGAATCTTCTCAGCATTCTCCTCATGAACCAAAGTGAGTACATATCACACTGAAGCAAGCTGAATGACTATAAAGCAAAATATACAATCATCTTATTTACGATTTAGTACATACACACTGAAGCAGCACCAAAGTGAGTAAAAGCAACAAAGTTTAATCACAATCCATTAGGAAAATATACTGTTTATAAATAGGATTTCATCGCAACAAAGTGGACGTTTAGCAAGTATTGTAATTTGGGGAGCCATTATCATAGCTCATCAACACAAAAAATGATTATTTGCACAACAGAACTAACAAAGCATCCCATATGTATACATACATAAGTAGAAAGACCAACAAGATAGCCCCATTGGTTTATTTTCTGAAGGTATGTGCACTGATAAAAATAATCAAACCCTGATCATGCTACAAATGTTTACCATTCCACGCAGAGTGATCAAATAGATAATTTATGAAAACATGACAAGATTTGTTAAATTTAGCATGAACAGATCCTTCAACACAGAGTAGCATATAATCCAATCACCAAAGAGAGAGAAAAAGACAGAGCTGAGTAGCCCTTAATGAATGAGCTATACCTGCATCACCAGAAAAGGGGAAACCGTTAAATGAGTTCACTTGTTTACCCTAGGTTGGAATTCCAAGACCTCGGCTAGCTTGTTCATGAAGGTGTACTTCCATTATCATTTGCCTTAAATATAGGGAGGCATGCTGCAGGCCATCATAATTTAAATCACAATAATTGCAGTATATCCAGCCAACAGCTTGAGGATGCCAAAGAATATGAATGTACTAACTACCAGAACCATTATCCGAATCCCTCTAAAACAATGGTCAAAATCCATGAGAAGAAGAAAACGTAACCCTTCCACAAGATCAGCCAGTCCAGCACCGAACATGTGGAAGATGTGATCGTGCAGAAGCCCAGCATAGACGACCATGGCACCCACCCTCAGCTAATCACAGAACCAAAGACCAAACCAAACAAGATTCAGTGACTAATCCAGAAATTATTGAACAAGCTTAAGGGAAAGTGATAATCTTGCATGGGGTTTCACCCAGCCAAGTGAATTGATAACAAGTCGTAAGAGTATAAACCACGGCATGGTATATCTCACCAATTATCAAACCTGAATTGCGTTGGTGTAGGAGAGCCACATGATACCGATGATTGTGATGTACTTGATCGTTCCCATCATCCTCTCCCGTCTCCACTTCTACTATTTCCAACGTGCTCTCCTTGTCATCAATTCATCCCAAAAAGTGAACCAACCATCCATGAGTTAGGTTCTCCACAATGTTCTCTCAAGAAATTGCAGAGCAGAGCCAGATGGCTTAATGCAAGAGACTACCCTGACTTGGATTAAATTAGGGTGATCAAGGACATGACAAACAACTAGCAGTCTGTCGCAAGAGGAGCCATGTGGAGGCCTTGACCACACAGTCAGTAGGGCGTCTACCTCGTAGGCTCCTAGCTCGCTGTCGTCAATGCCACAGTAGTTGACGGAGACGCACGGCAGGGAATGAGGTGGTCGTGGCTGCCGACGGCGAGTTGCTTGACGAGCTCCGGCACTCACCGTCGCAAGGACTGCTGCTGCTGCTGCGCCGACGTTGAGGCTCTACGGTGGCTCCCCGACCGGATTTGGCCAAAGTGACCACCGGAGTGGCAAGGCTTGGCCCTCTCTCCGTCAGATCGCGTCAGGGAGGGGAAGTCATGGCCTTGGACGAAGGAAGGAGGGAGAGGAGGGCGGCGTGAGGCCACGAAGGAGTGGTCGGCGTCACAAGGCCGCGGAGGAAGGGTCGGGTGTTCCTTGCGAAGGAGAGGACGACAACATGAGGCCGCGGAGGAGTGGCCGGTGTCTGATGTGACGGCGACGGCGAGGCGCCGAGGGGTCGCCGGCGACGGCGGGACGCCAAGGAGATCAGATCGAAGGAGAGGGGCGGCGGGAGGACGCTGAGGAGGGGCAGTCGTCGGTGGGATCTGATCTAGGGTGTGCGTCAATAGGCGCTGGAGGGCAGGAGGCCTCGCTCGTACGCACGCACAATCTTGTCGCGGTTTTTTTTTTCGCTAGTTAATTTTTGCCGGTTTGTGCTCGATGGTTTATTTTCGATCGTCTCAGTTAATTACGAGGAGAGTTTGGGCGTGTGCGGGACTCGATCGTGCGGTTTTTCTTGGTTTTTCGCGGCTGAGGAGAAGGTGGAAGGAAGTACCAAAGAAGTACCAAAAAAGACCGGGTGAGGTGGGACGAAAATTAAATCCGGAACGCGACCTACCAACTGAGACATTAGAAGTAGAGATATTCGTCCAGCCAGCCTACGTTGATAGGACGTACGATCAATACTCCTAGGTAAGTTTTGAGTTGTCTGTTCCTTAAAAAATGCACTTTGACTCGTTGTGTGAGTATTGAACGGTACTGGTTTTATTAAGGAGTTAAGTGAACCATTTTGAACCATTTTGAACGGTACTGGTTATGTGAACCATCGACTTTGTTCAGAGTGGTAAAATGGATTTTTTTCAGGCAAATATAACAAATTGAAATGTCAGACGAAGAAAACTAGTAATGCATGTGTTGCTTGTTTGGAGAAAATACTGCCATAACCTACTAGAGAATTCATTAACTAATTGGGCAGAAAGTTGATCAACTGACTCAACTATGAAAACACAAACCCGCTGGAGGACGTTTGCTTATACACAGTCGTCGGCGTCCTTTGGGCGTTTCAGTTGGTTCCTGCATGAGAGTAGAGCGACGCCGAGGCAAAGACGACACTACACACGAGGCCGTGGCTTCGTCGGCGAGGGCTCATCAGGACTTCGCCGACGAAGCGGACGTCGCCGGTTGCCCTGGCGCCGCGGACGGAGGAGTGGCAGCTAGCGGGCGGAAGGCCTTGTACTATTGACCGCCGCTCGAAGTCGACGGGGACGACGCCGCAGCCAAAGGAAGAAGAGCCGCAGTTAGTTGGATACAGATCGGACGACGGAAGGGAATTTGATAGAGGAAGGGAAAAAAAAATCTCGGGTGACTGCTCGTTGGTCCGGTGCAGCCGTCCTGACTTGGCGTGCGGAGCCGAGAGGGACGCGTCCTCCTGGTCTCCTCCGTAATTGTTGAGCCGGACGGAGGCGCACGCAGCAAATTCTGTGTAAAGGGCCTCTTTGATTTATAGGCTTGCAAAAACACGGGAATAGGAAAAATGTAGGATTGAAATGGCATATTCATTGAATACCTATAAGATGTGAGTTCGTTTAACTGTGTCACGGAAAAAACAAAAGATTTCTTTCAAGAGGTTGGAATGGATATTAGAATTCCTGTGAAATGTAGTACAAATAAATCCTTTGAAAAAATCCTACAAGATTCAATCCTACAAATCAAACGACCAACATTCAGGAATTCTAATCTAATCCATCAAAGATTCTATTAAAATCTTTTGAATCAAAGAGACCCTAAAATTGCGTGCGTAGACCGCGCGCCGTGTCGGTCTCACCATGAATATATTCCTACAGCCAGCCTACGTTGATAGACAGAGACGTGCGATCGCTACTACTCCTAGGCTCGTCTCGAG